TGGTTATCCATGTTTGTCCTTGTCGTTTCTTTTTTATCTGGACCATCAGAAACCTTTCTTGGACCCTTCTTAGGTTTTTCCGCCATAGATTCTGCCATATTCCTCATAACTGCTTTAGCAATTTGTTTAATAAACATAAAAAATTAAACAATTCTCAATTCTCAATAATAAAAGTTCTCTCCACTGGACCATTTATTTTTCAGCAATGGCAGACCGTGGAGTTCTCTACATAGCACTGGGTTGATCCCCCCCTTCTGTTCTGTCAAACCAATCATTGCTGGTTGACGTAAAATCGTAGCGCCACAGTTCAGTTCAATTAAATTTTAGTTAAATTTTATTTATGTAGCACCCATTCATAACAGATGTTATCTCATTGCACTTTTCATATTCAGCAAGTCTAGATGTACTCTTTGTAATATTATTTACAGAGCCCCAACAAGCAAGCACTTGGCGACAGACACCAGATTTAAAAACTCCAGTATACTGTGAAAGAAAGAGAGACTTTCCTGGCAATGATAGACTTAATCGGACTGACAAAGATCAGTCAGCGCCACCTATGGGAAAGGAAAGTCAGCAGTTTAGAACTGCAGAACGAGATGAAGAAGGTATGTGCAGTATTTGAATGAGTACAATCAGGTGTTTTCAGGGTTCTGAATAGATATGCATCTGTAGGCTCTGGCCACGGTGCAGGGATTCAGTTCCACTGAAATGTTGGCTCAGAGCTGCCCTCTGTGTGCTTACCTGTGCTTGTGCATGAGTCTCTGCGCACGTGTGTGGGGCTCTTTGTGTGTTTGTTGCTTGCACCTTGCCTGTACCAAGACTTGCACAGAGTGCAAACAGGGCAGCGGAAGTAGACCTGTACATTTGGTGCAAGGATCTTTTGTATTAGTGCAGTGTTCTGCTATATGCAAACATGTCATGCATAAGATATAAAACAGCTTTATTTGCTGCCAAAGAAATGTTCTAGCCTGAGCTGGGTCCTAAACTACATCTAAAATCAGCTCTTATCTTTTAACTCTTGTATGCTTTCCCCTGAGTTTATGAAACTTCAAGAAATCAGCATCAAAGGTATATCTCCAGAATGTGTTTCTACCTTTTCATGGTCATTATTTTGTTCAAGGAATGCCTCCTGCTCATCTCTGATCAACTAAGTGCATACAAAAAGATGAGACTTCTCTTTTAAATCAGGCAGAAAGGAATGCACATTTACTCTTAGCTCACCTTGGGGCTTTGGCCTGCACCAAACATGTTTTTGAAGTACAGAAAAGAAGACTAATAGCATATACTGGGGGCTCCTGCATACAACTGTATCATAAACTGCTATTATGGCACGCTTCCAAGTTCTGTAAGGCTGAATTTGTATTTTTATGGTATCAAATACAAATGATTAACAAATTGCAAACAGTAATGTCTGAAATTTGCTAATAAAAGGGGTAGACCAAGCAAAATGTACCATAATCAGATTGTTCTTATTTTTCAACTACTTTGTCTCACATCTGCATGTGTAGAAATGTTGGTTAAGAGGACATTCTATATATATCTATAATATAAATTTACTCTGCAATTACCACGATGTTATTGTCATAAATTACCCCATAATTAGTTCTTCTCTGTGAAGATTTTGATACTAATCTCACAAAATGCCCATTCTTTTTTTCCAGAGCTGACGTTATAATCCTATAATGAATCTGTCCTTTAATTTTCAAGTAAAAGAAGTACTATCATTCCCTTGTTGTCTCTGTGTGTGTATGTGTGCGTGCGTGTGTGTGTGTGTGTGTGTGTGTGTGTGTGTGTGTGTGTGTGTGTGACAGAGAACACATGCGTACAAGTGGAGGCATGAGTGCGTCTGTACACTTTCACCAACTTTTCTAACGTGATTTTATGTGACAAAGTCCTGACCTACCACGAAGATGCCCACAAATTATATCAGAGATACTTCACACAGCCTTTTCTGGTGAACTCGGTCCTAACCAAAACATTCACACTTCAATAGATAAGATAGAGGAGGCACGCAACCTTTGTGGCTCTTAATGAGCCCTCACACTTTAAGCTTCCCAGGGAGTAAAAATCCAATGAAAGACTACTTTAACGAAACAATGACTAAGGTTTTCAGATTGGGAATACCCTTTCTCATTAAAGATTCTTAACTAAGATCCATTTCCCAAACTGTCTGATTCATCAGCTACCAAAACAAATGCCAAAATATAGGGGGATTTCACAATATCACACACAGAGTCAATTAAAATGCACCGTGTTCATGGGAATAATAGGAATATTGAAAATAACAGGGATACAACTTAATATGATGTCGGTTTTCTTGTGTTCTTAGAGTCGGATCAATGATGCTACCTACCAAAAGCCCTGATGACAAAGGTTGAAAAGCTTCTTCAGCTTAGCCTTAACCTTAATAGTCGCACTGTGGGGACACCTAACATAGAATTAAATGCAATTATGAAAAAATGTTTCCAACACAAGAGGTGCCTGTGAGAGGGAAACCAGGGAAGCTGTATTCATTTCACACAGCCCCGGGTGCTGAGAGGATATGGCAGTCCTTTTCATATTGGCAGCTGTTTGATCAGACTAACTGCACTCCTTAGTCGTACCATAGCTGCAGGTCTGATCTAAACTCCTCATCAGATTCAAAGGAGACACCGCGTCTCCAATGCACTCCAGGCTCTTTCCATAAACGCAGCTGAATTATTCCTTTGAGTGCCCTTGCTTGATACTGGCCTCCCTTTTTCTTTCAGACAGCAGGAGTCTTAACAACCACCAAACCTGACAGAGGTGGATATAGAATATTGCTGCCCACAGTGTCTTTCACAGTGTCACCGTTATATCTTCCAGCAAGGGTGTGAAACTTAACCATGAGGGTATCTGATAGCTTGTAGATCAGTTGCGGATGATAGTGTTCTCTATGCATTGTGGGAAATAACAGGGAAAGTAGAGAGCAGCGAAAGAAAGAGAGAGAGAGAGAAAGAATCCACTACAGACACTGGCAGTGAATGGAGCTGCTAGCGTGGCTCTGTGTTGTGTGTTGATCACGGTTATCATCAGAGCCATAGTAGATGACTGATAACTGAGGTGTGGTGTTGTGTAAGTGTAGTTGTGTGTATGCGTGTGTGTGCCTGTGTGATCTGAGTGACTGCACAACAAAGAGTCTGAATGGATTTAGTCAAAGCTCCAACGCTGATGCTGCTGCATTCCAGGAGGTTTATGATGTGAAACACCAAAGGAAAGGAAACAATGATCACATTCATGAGATGTCATTTTCTTCCACTTTTATCTGAGGAATTTGTCAAGGTTTTTTTCTTCCTTTTTTCATAACGTAATGTGTCCACCTTATCCAAAGTGGGCCTTTGTTAGAAGGCTCTATTTGAAAAAGCTTGACCTCATTCTCACTAATAAGGTGCAGGTCAGTTGACTCTACAGTAGCATCCATCCTTAGATATACATGCACTGTAGATATGTACAGTACATAGGCCCTGCAGTGTTTCATGTACACAGATTTGAGTGTAAGAGACTCATAGCTTTATATATGAGAATTGTGCAGAAAATTAACCTTTTCTTGGATCAAATTCTCCTCAACTCAAAAGAATATGTCTTTTCTTATTGTTAATGTACGGATGTTTGACCTTACCTGTGCATGATGCAGTGTTGGGCAAGCTACTTGGAAAATGTAGTCAGCTAAGCTACTAGCTACTCTAGATTAAATGAAGCTTCACTATACAGAAGCTACCCCCCAGTGAAAAGTAGCAAGCTAAGCTACAGCAATGTGGCAAAGGTAGCTTAGTTACATCTAAGCTACTTTTAATTTTTTAATATAGTTAGGTCTATATATATGTATATATACACACACATATATATATATATATATACACTTACACACACAGCATAGGCCTAGTTTATATTGAACTTACTTCATTCCCCGGTAGCAATAGAAGAAAGACTAAAAACCTGCTCCAAACAGTGTGTGTGTGTGTGTGTGTGTGCCATAGAGAGCTAAATTAGACACACAGAAACTCTCCTACTTACTGCCATATCATTGCAGCTAAATGTATTTCCTCATGCAACAAATGGAGAACCATTGTTGTTTGTATAAAGTAACTTAATTATCACATTATTAATTAATTATGTATTTTTTATTGTTTATATGTGAATTTGTGCTCTGGCAACATTGCCACCTAAACAACATTCATGGCAATGGGCGAGAAAGAGAGAGAGAGAGAAAAAGAAGAGAGAGAGAGAGAAAGAGAAAGAGAGAGATCTCTCATCTGATGGAAACAAGTTTCTGCCACTATATGTCAGAGTTTCCTCCTCACTAGAGGACGAGCTTTCCAGGATGGACCCTGATCCTTCTCACAAGAGGTGTTCCCCTGCAGCAAAGTCGCAGACATCAGCCCAAGGATCGGTGATGTCACCTTCACAGCAAGCTACACATACAGGTCCGTGTGTGGCGGTGGCGTCCCTTACTGATCCTTCAGAAATGCATGGGAAAATGTAGCGTGCGTGGAAGCTACCGTGCTACTCGGTCAATAAAAGAGTTTCGTTAAAGCTATTTGATTCAGAAAATAGCGACGCTACCACCAAGCTACTGAGAAATGTAGTTCAAAGTAACGGCGCTACTTGTAGCGACGGTACTGCCCAAAACTGGCATGATGGTATTTTCGCATTGATCTACTGAATGTTTCTCTGTGCTCACCTTAAATCTGAGGCAAAAATGTTGGAAACCAAGTGCGAATCATCCAGTGCACATACACTGAAAATTGACTTTCAGTAGCAGTTACAATATTTGCATATTTATAGATTCTCGATTTATTCCAAGTTTGTCTTAAAATATCTGGAGGGGGGTTTTAATTAATTATAAATTAAGTGAGGCTGCAACAGCTTAAAAGTACCTTTTTAGGGCCAAAGTGTTCTGATACTCTTACATTGCAGTGGAAAGTAGAGGTAAGAGACAGTTCTCTCCAGAGAAACAGCATTGGTTGTTTCCTTTAAGTATGAGGACTTGGTTGGATGGTTGTCTTTTATTATGGTTTTGATACAAATATGACATTTTCTTACAATTTGCTGCAGGGATGTTGTAAGACTCCATGTACACTTCTTCCACTAAAACTGTGGCACCTTTTTTCATTGTGTCCAATTATTGAAACCTCAAAAAACATGGGCAGGTTAGATGTAACTTACAGTACTCTCTGGTAAAGTGGCACTGTGGGGCCAAGGTTGGATAACCCCTAACCCTTGCTCTGGAGCCCTTTGGCAAATTAATCCGGCCTTGGGTAGGGCTTTAAAAGACTTCTCAAAAGACCATGATAGTAAAATATCTGTCCTTAAATCACTTATTCTTTACTTTGTATTCATTTGAGTCCAGGTTCATTTTGCTGAATTATTTCTTACTTTCTATGCATGCTTTTTTTGTCTTTGTTTAGCACCTTTAAAACTGTTTTACCCCACATAAATCTGACTTATCATTTTGTCAGTTTAACTACCTATAAAGCTTCCAGGAACTCAAAATGCAAGAAAAATGACATAGCTGCATTTAAAAAGATTAGTATTTGTAGATCTGGAAATTGTCATTTTGTGCTGTTATTAGTATACTTTTTATAAATGATTGGTGAAATTACACAAATTGGGCCCTTAGTGTAGAAAGAGCAGAAAGCCACTAAATGTTGTTCTGTGGTACTGGTCATCCCAAACCTCTCCCGCATGTTGTACCGAGACCACATCTCCCACTTCCAACTGCACCACTGCACCATTGGACGCATTGTCCTCAAGATCTACGGATATGGTTTCTCTGTCACCTGCAGTAACTATGAGATGTCCATTCTTGACAAGTTCCATTCTCATAAATGAACCCGAGTGTGCTGCATGACCAGTAAATCTGAAGTAATACACTCCTCTTACTGGTGCAGTGAAGTAACCTAAAACAGATACAGAAAAGAACAGTCACAACTGACAGAAGTGAAATTATTGAAACCAATAGGCCAATTTCTCAAACAAGAAGCCTAATCAGACTACCTGTGTTTGGGTTGTAGTGGTTTCCAATGTTGGTAAAGACATTTTTGTAGATGAGTGGAACAATGTCTTCATTGTCTGTATTACCTTCACCAGATGCCAGAAGGGAGGCAGAAAAGGCCACTTTTCTCACTTTTAAAGAACACAACACACAATCGTTTCGATTTATTTTCTGTACTTTCTGTCCATGGATGCTCGCACATGCACCTAACACATACACAGAGAGGGAAAAACTATGTACCTTTATTGGTATTTTGGAGTTCCTGCACTGCCGCCTTCTGTCCTGAAATCGCAAGATATAAATTTCATAACCATATGCACACAATTCATCACACAAATCATAACCCTCAACCTTTACCTTCCTGCTGTTTCTCCAGCTCCTCCATGCGACGTTCACTGACTGTCAATCTTTGCTGCAGAGAGCTGAGCTTCTGCTGAGTGACTGCAAGCTCTGTAGCTTGAGCTGAAGCGACAGAAAAGGTTTACAAGTCAGAGAAAAAACAGACCTCTTTTATGTTTGGGTGCAATGTCAAAGCATGGCACAGTGTTTACCGTCATTCTCCATCTGTAATTCCTCTGCCAAGCTTTCAGCAGCGGTGATCCTGGCCTCGGCGGCTGTAACAAGAGTTGTCATGTAAGCTCAGCTACATCTATTTTTTTTTTAGAAAGTGAGTCATTTATTATAGTGTACCTGTATTCTGCTTCTGCAGGGACTCCACCAGACCTTCAGCAGTTATTACTCTGGTCGTGAGGTGCTTCAGCTCCACTCTCTGCTCCACCACCATGTCTCTCAGATTCCTCAGCTCAACCCAAATGTCAGACTGAAGCACCAGCTCTTGTTCACCTCCCTCAGCTTCAGTCCTGGATCTCAGTGTCTGAGCCTTCTCTTCCCAGCTCCCGACAGCGTGAAGCAAGAAATCTATGTCACTGCTGTGTTTCTGAGCTCTGCAAAGATGGCAGAGTATCAGTACCAGCGAGAAGACCATGGAAGTCTTCATCTTTGCTTGGGAATGATCGGTGTTCTGTTTGCTGTCTGTGGCACAGTTGTGCACTGCATCGGCCTTTTATGGGTGAGTTCAAGGTCAGATGTGTCAGGTGGATGGTGATATGTCAAAGTTGTGAGAAAGCACACCTGTAACTTAGAGTTATCTAGCGGGTGGGTTAGATAGAAGGGGGGTGAGGACACAAACAGAGAGAGCAGTAACTGTGACTCAGTGGTTTTAAACACAGATGGTAAGTGGATCGTAAATTTGTACATTGGAGCCCTGCAATCTTTCCATATGCTGATCAAAGTATTTTATTTTGCCAAACTTCTTGTTCTGGTTTGGGAAAGTCTTTTACAGAGTAAAACTGGAATCAAAATCTGTGAATTTTAAACATATGTGAATGTGCTCACTCAAATGATAAAGAAACATACAGTCAGTAGTCACTGGAGTATATTTTCTTCTTGTTTTCTGACAAGGTTTTGAGTTAACAGTCAGTAAGTTTTCTGCCACCTCCCCAGTAGTGGACGTTAATGAGATTTTGTTTCCTGTAACAGTGTCCTGTTATTCAGGATCATCCATACACAGACAGAACTCCCTATGCATATGTATGCGCAAAAGCCCAGTATATCTATGCATATAGTCTCTCTAGGTACAAGACAAATATCTCAAAACATGGTAAAATAAAACTCTCTACATAACACTACAGGGGTAAGTTGTATTTTGGGTAAACCAAGGTTTTGATCTACATCATTATGACTTATTTTCAATAGCACACACAAACAGCATCTGATGTCATTGTCCACACTCAGAACTCAATCTCTGTCATACCTTTGCAGTGGCATTGTTTCAGTATGATTAGACTTTCCACTGTAGCACTGTCACTGTAGCTTTTTTCCCCCTTTCAGCCAGAAAAATGGCTCTACATTTCAGGTGGAGTTGTTTTCCATAAAGGATCTGGAAATATCTTAAACTCCATAAGTGCAAATGGGCATCCTTACAGTCCCCTAGGCTACCCGCAAGTTATTGTGAAGAGTTAGGGAAATTTCCCACTGCAACAAGACCATTATTTGGGCGTGTCTGCTTGTGAGTCATAAGCGTGTGCATCAGTGACAAGTTAGACAATTAGACAGAAATAACAACAAATCAACCCGTCGTTAAAAAAAATATTTCTTGAAGCGTATAAAGTGCAGTGAATGACATGATTTATGCTGATTGCTGCTTGTGTTTATGAATAAGAATATTGAGCAGCTGTCTGTCAGAATGAAACTTCACACTGCCACAGACAATAGGGTTTACACCAGATAAACACACAGGCATCAGTCTTTCTAACAAAACACTGCCAGCGCTCATGTGGTGGACAAGGGAACACAACAGAGTGAGAATGTTGTCTTTAGTACAGCAGCAGGTATACTTATGGTTTCATATCGAAACATTCAAGAATAGGCAGAACTGTCTTAATACAAATTTTCAGCATCCTTTGTTCACTATTTTTCTTCTCATAAAATACTTTGCTGTGGGGGTAAACACAAACAAATGTACATATGCCGCAGCAGATTTAAAGAAGAGGTTTTTCTGGAAAGAGAACACAGGGTTTTCTACCTTGGTGCCGGAGGGGGCAGAGATAAAGAGAGTAATAGTTAGACTGTGGTCACATTGGTATGCAGACAGTCATGAAAGCAGTGCAGTACCTGTTGCATCTTGCAAATTCATCGTTGAATATTGTGAAATTTCAATGCTTTTTTATAACAACTAAATGGATTGGTGGTACAATTAGATGAACACAAATTATTTGGATTACAGATGATCTACTAATGTACACTTGTCTACTGAAGCATCCTCCTCCTCCTTATCAGTAACTTAATCATCAAAGAGACAACATAAATATATAACTATAGTGTATAGATGTTTACGACTGTAAAATGGCACCAAATATTTTGTCAAATCTGGCAAATATCAGTTGGAACAAAAGTGTAAGTCCTGTATAAATTTACACTTGTTTGTTTTCCTCTATGTCATAATCAATCCAGTATTGCCCGATTTTTAAACTGGATTGTATTGGTCAACTGGCCTTCATAAATTTAACACTGGTTCCATATCTGCATATAAAAGCTAGGGTTGGCAACACATTTTTTGTCTTCTCATGTCTTAGGTCTTCTCCTCTTCATTTATTCTTTATATTCCGACAGCAATCATTATATCAAATGCTCTGATACAAAAACATTTTTATCCAGTACCTTGCAAAATGCAAAATGTATATAGATGTAGAGATATTTCAATGGACAAGTGAAAATTTTGACCTGCGTGAGAGGTAAAGTCAGGAAATCACATTAGGATTGTCCATCTTGGCACCACAAACATATTTACCAAATTTCATGGCAATTCATCATCAAATAACTGTTGAAATATTTCAGTCTGGGCAGAGCGGTGTGGGCTGGTGATGGCGCAATGGATAAGATACATGCCTTTGGTGTGAGAGACCGGGATTCAATCCCCCACTGTCCATCCACCAACGTGTCCCTGAGAAAGACACTTAACCCCTAGTTCCTCCAGAGGCTTGTAAACTGTAAGTTGCTTTGGATAAAAGTGTCAGCTGAATGAGTGTGTAAGTGGTGGACCTGCCAACAGACAGACCAACATTGCTGTCGTAAAGCATTTTGCTTTTAATTACCTAGCTGCACTGAAAAATTAAGTTGAGCCAGAAAAGTCATACTTGTTCTTCCAAACAGTAATCTTAACAACGCTTACACTCCGCTTACAAGCTTTTTTCTCAGAATCTTACTGTTTCCCTCAGTGGAGCTTGTTGAAGAACAGACATCAACATGACCTAAACATGGAAAACAGTTATTACATTTTATTTTTTTTTAAAACAGCAAAATCCCTGTTATTCTGAATGATCCACAAAACACACTGTCAACAGTTTTTAGGGGGAGTATTTCTTCGATGAAAACTGTTACCACTGAATGTAATCATTTTCAGTTGCTGAATTTGTGAACACCACAAAGTAACATTATACGGAGGTTAAATCTATCTACTACTACGCAAACTATCAGCATGGCTGCACACCAAAGTATTTCTTTGACACATTTCATACTGTACAGTCCGACAAATGTGAGCCTAATTTTGAGTGATACAATGAAGTGCATCCAGAAAGTAAGTAAAAAAAAACATGATTTGTGGTGCCAAAAGTCAAACATGCCAAAGATGTCTGGCATTACATTCTGTCAAAATGGCAGTTAACAAGGCAGCGTATCATCTGTGGCTCCTCTCCATACGGTCAGAGAACCTGTTGCTGAGGTGTCGACCTGTCATTAAGACGCTAGTAAATCTTCCCACCCAGGGAGCCTTGGAAAAGAGCTTCCCCTCAGGACAATCCGCTCCTGCAGGGATGAGCCTCACTTTGCTCTGTGTCTGCCCTCTGGGATAAATCTCATACTCTAAACTGGATATTTGAGGCGATATTCATTCTGGCCTTCTCACAGGTCAGACTGGAGGCAAAATGTCGCTTTCAAGGGCTTGGTTAGAGTTTTCTGTGGGATCAATTCCATCCTAAAAGGTGAATATAGTAGGGGTATGGTGCAATATCTGCCAAAGTATGATAAGATGACACCTAGGCAGAGCTACCTGGCGCCTCAAAGTGACTGGCAACCTCACATACCTTCTTTCATTTTCCTCTCAGGCAAATTCCTCTCTCACTGTCTTCCTTTCTGTGTTTCTCAACTCTTCTCTCTTCTTTGCTCTTTTTTTCTTTTCCATAGGGGACAAACATAATATATCACTTTTGCTTTTCTTCTGGAGTTTTTTGTTTAATTTGAACATGCTGAGGTTTAACCTTACTGATACTTTCTCTGTGCTCACCCAGATCATGGGCCAGATAAATGTGACCCACCCATGGAAATCATATATGCTGCAGGGTTGTTACACCTTTTAATAAACTCTGCTATTGGGTTTTTCACAAGCTGGGCTCTCAGAGGCATCTCTATTGTCTCCTAATGTAATTAAGGTGTTATGTCAATGATCAATCATCATACCCTATTGTCAATATAATTGCTTTTAATAGAAATGTTGACACACAACATAATCTACAATAATAAGTCTTTTTGTGGTGCAGGTAATCACTCCACAAATTGACCAATCACACTTCTGTGCTTCAAGACCCACATCCTAACCCGCCAATCGTACTAAGCAGTGGGAGGACGGAGGTTGAGACAGCTACTGTATGCTGCAGGTAGTTAGCCTCAGCCTAATCTAATGATGCATACTTCCCCCTGTTTATGGCAGCCAGGGTAGAGGGAGCGCTAGCCTGTGCTTGTCTGCTGCTGAGAATGCCCATTAACGCTCTTTTCCCCCTCAGGTGATGACCACCTGAGCTATCAAAGACAAGCATGTCTGTAACACCACCCTCCCTCTCCTCCCCCTCTCATCAAACTATATCTCCGCCTTTGCTTCGACCTCAACCCAGACACATGCTGTACAGTTGCTTGCACAGTACAGTGCAGTTGTATTTTTTCCCTCCAAAAGTGCCATTTGAGAGTAGTTAGTTTATATAACATTGTCATCATCATTGTTATCATCATATTTTTGAATATATGTCAATATGCAATTCACATTAAAGGGTCACTTCATTAAAATTATATTTTTCTCATGCCGCTCACCTCATGTGGTATCTAGCTATGCAAGCAGTTTTGATTTGTTGGCTAGTAGTTTTGCTTTTGTCGGTGGGTTTTGTGAGACTTCTGCAGAGAGAAAAAAAAAATGTATTTAAGAATTTGACACCAAAGTCTTTCTGGCAACAATGTCCCGGGATAATACAAATATTTATATGTGAACAGTGTTCTTACTTTCTTGACATATATTGCATGTCTGTCTGCAATATATCCCTTCTCTGTTGCTCTTCCTGAGGCTTCTTCTGTTTTTATCAAGGATCCAGGGTCTAACAATGGACGTGGTCATATGCTGTACAGATTGTAAAGGCCCTGTAGGCAAATTTCTGCAAGTTTTTTTTTTTTGACCATTTTATGTCTTTAATTAAATACTGTAAAGAAGAAAGATGACAGGAAACAAAGCAGAGAGAGACATGGGGATTGACATGCTACAAAAGGCTACAGCCGCACTACAACTACAACAGTCAAAATTTACCTATTTTTGGTCTGAAGTTATGCGTTAACTTTGCCAACATGTTGTTTGACCCATTCCTAATTTTTTATTTTTATATTACTGTTATTAAGCCAAAAACAAGTATTTGACCCAGACAGCCTTACCTTGAAACCGTCACAAATGTAGTAGTACAAAATGATGTGCATGATGTTCAAAACTGCAGAGGAAACACATATTATTTGCAATCAGTAACACATACTGATAAGCAAGTTCAAGTAAAAATAGCTAGAGTATATTAGAACAGTTTGCAAAGTTTGGTAAAATGGCTCACCAGTAAGATAAAAAATAACTCTC